CCAGCATGCAGGAGGGGGAGGACAGCGAAGAGAGCTCCATGGAGGCCAGGCCGCTCTGATGCTGTTCCAGGTTCAAAATATCCTTGACCGAGAAGGGCGTGGTGGTCACAGGGCTAGGGAACATTGCGGAGGAGCGCGGGGCAGCGGCCGGAGCCCAGGGTCATGGAAAAGCAGGTGAGGAGCAGCCAACCTGGAGCAGTGGTGGAGCGTGGGCTCACGGAGGGGGCACATAGCATTCCCGCGAGTAGCCTTGACTTGTGCACTGGAAGCAGGTAGGACCAGACCATAAGGGAAGGGAAGGAGGGACTAGGCAGTTTTTGGGTGACTTTAGCTTTCTATTGGCCAACATTGCAGTGATGGTATGAGAGATGCAAAGTTCCATGTCACCTAATATAGTAATACATCTCAAAAACATCCCCGCTCATTTAAAGGGGCGGCACTGTATTTATCCGGCTTTTCCCCGCCGAGTTTGTTGATCCATTAAAAAAAAAAAATCCAGAATGGCCTAATGTGTACAAAGCTGCTATCTGATGCCATCTATCATACAGTCAGATTAAATAAACAGGCCGGGAGGAAACCATCAACCAAATATGTGCTGATTTCAGGGTTTTTTTAAGCGAGGGAACGGAGGTTTCGTTTTTAGTGTTCTGCAATATCCGATAGCAGGAACTAGAAAACGGGAGTTCACTGCTGCGTGAAGCGCGCTCAAGGGGAAATCCGCGCTTAAGGTTTGTACAGATATTCTGAAGCAGCGCGACTCCTGCAAAATCCAGCTGATAGGAGAGAGCCCCTAAACAGCCCCAGCCTGGCTTTGGAGGAGGAAATGCCGGTTGGGTTTCCCCCTCGCCTGTTTGTAAAGCTTTCAAACAAAAAAACCCAGCACTGTCTGGGAAAGGGGGGGTGTGAAACAACAAACCTTCACATGAAAAAAACAACAACAACAACAAAACCCGCGAGTTGAAGGCGTTGCAAAATATACAGGGGTGCTGGGGGCAAGCGAGGAGCAAGTCAAAGCAACCGGGGGTCGGGCTGCGGCTTGGGGCCGGCTCCCCGCAGCCCGGGCGGGCACACGGCATTCGCGGGGCAGAAGTGGGAGCTCATTGATGTACGCGCTCGGAGTCGCTAAAATAAACTTTAGCGGCAAAGTCGAAGGTTGAGGAGGGGCGTTACGGCGCTTTCTGGCTTCGGGGGGCGAGGGGGAGGAAAAAAAAATACCACCCTCACCCCCCAAAATCTCGGCTAGTGACTTCTTCTGTGCGG